GGACCCAAAAAGAAGGCAGGAACTGCTATATCAAATCAAATAGACTTCAAACTTAAAAAGGTTAAGAGATAAAGAAGGCCACTGCATTATGATTAAGGGGACAATCCAACAAGAAGATATAACAATCATCAATATATATGCACCAAATGAAGAAGCACCAAAATTTATTAGGAAACTACTGTCATCCATGAAAATGTATATCACAGAGAATACATACATAGTAGGAGACTTCAACATGCCACTCTCCACAATGGACAGATAAACAAGACAAAAAATAAGTAAAGAAAATAAAGCTCTCAACAAGGACCTGGACAACATGTGTCTAGCAGACATATATGGAATACTGCACCCCAGAAAATCTGAGTACACATTTTTCTAAAACCCACATGGATCATTCTCTAGGATTGACCACATACTGGGTCACAAGATAAACATCAATCGATACATTAAGATCGAAAACATACCAACTATTTTTCCGACCATGAAGGACTCAAACTAGAAATAAACCATATGAAGAAGGCAAGAAACCCACCTATCCTGTGGAGAATAAAACTCACACTACTGGAAGAACATTGTGTCAATGAGGAGATCAAAGAAGAAATTAGAAAATACTTGGAGAAGAATGACAATGACGACACAAGTCTCCAAAATGTATGGGACACATTAAAAGCAGTCATAAGGCCCTCCCTGGTGGCAGAGCGGGTTAAAGCACAACACAAAGAAGCTTAAGCCACTTCCGCATGAGTTTGATCCCCGCCTGCCCCGGAGGTGACCAGATGGCACGGCAGACCTCTCCTGACCCACCCACTTCTCCTGCAGCAGTGTACTTCATCAATCTGCCTGTTCTGCTCCCCACTCTGTCTCTGGTGAATCATCTCACCCTCCACATCTCTGGCCTGTACCCCAGTTCTGTACGAATAAATACATAAATCTTAAAAAAAAAGCATCTATAAGAGGAAAATATATAGAAATACAAGCTCACATAAAGAAACAAGAAATAAGTCAAAGAAACAACCTAATGTCCCACCTTAAAGAATTGGAAAAAGAACAACAAAATAACCCAAAAAGCCAGCAGAAGACAAGAAATAATAAAAGTCAAATCAGAAATAAATGAAATGGATTTTAGGAAAGCAGTCCAAAAAATCAATGAAACCAAAAGTTGGTTCTTTGAAAAAATAAACAAGATAGAAAGGCCACTAGCCAGGCTCACAAAGAAAAAACAAGAGAAAGCACAAATACACAGAATCATAAATGAAGAAAAGAAATCACAACAGACCCAGCAGAAATCAAAAGAATAATCAGACATTACTATGAGCAACTATATGCAAACAAATTGGACAATTTAACAGAAATTACAAATACCTACAACTCCACAACCACCCAAAGCTAGATAAAGAAGAAACAGAACAACTACACAGGCCAATTACAAGCAAGGAAATAGAAGAAGTAATCAAAACCCTCCCCCAAAATAAAAGTCCAGGACCAGATGGATTTACAAATGAATTTTACCAAACTTTCAGAAAAGAACTAGTGTCCATTCTATACAGACTCATCCAAAAAATTGAAAAAGAAGGAAAACTACCACAAACGTTCTACGAAGCCAACATCACACTAATACCAAAACCTAACAAAGAAAACACAAAAAAAGAAAACTTCAGACCAATCTCCCTAATGAACATTGATGCAAAAATCCTCAACAAAATCTTAGCTAACAGAATCCAACAATGCATTAAAAGAATAATACACCATGACCAAGAGGGTTTTATCCCAGGAGCACAAGGATGGTTTAACATCAGAAAATCAATTAATGCGATCCATCATCAAGCAACAGAAGAATAAAAAAACACACAATCATATCAATAGATGTGAAGGATTTTGACAAAGTGCAACACCCATTTATATTTAAGGGCCTTGAAACTCTTGGAATAGAAGGAATATACCGCAACATGATAACGGCCACATATGATAAACCCACAGCCAATATTATCCTCAATGGAGAAAAGCTGAAAACCTTTCCTTTGAGATGAGGAACAAGACAAGGGTGTCCACTATCACCACTGCTCTTCAACATAACATTGGAAGTTCTAACCAGAGCAATAAGACAGGAAAAAGGCATACAAGGAATTCAAATAGGGAAAGAAGAAGTAAAACTATCCTTATTTGCAGACAATATGTTAATTTACATGGAAAACCCTAAAAACTCCACAGAGGAACTAATCAAAACCATCCACCAGTTTGGCAAGGTAGCAGGATATAAAATCAACACACAAAAGTCAGAGGCATTCCTATACACAAACAACCAATCAGAAGAAGCAGAAATTTAAAAAAAAATCCCCTTTTCACTTAAAACAAAAAGAATCAAATATCTGGGAGTCAACCTAACAAAAAAGATAAAAGGCCTCTACAAAAAAATTACAATACACTGTTAAAAGAAATACAAGAAGACACCATGAAATGGAAAGACATCCCCTGCTCATGGATCAGGAAAATTTACATCATCAAAATGGCCATCCTGCCAAAAGCAATATACAGGTTTAATGTCATTCCAATAAAAATCTCAATGACATTCTTCAAAGAAATAGAAAAAATGTTGATGAGATTCATATGGAACAACAAAAGACCTCGAAAAACCAAAACCCTCATGTCTAAGAAAAAACAAAATTGAGGCATTACAATCCCAAACTTCAAGCTGTACAACAAAGCCATAACAATCAAAACTGCAAGGTACTGGATCAAGAATAGACATACAGACCATTGGATTTGAATAGAAAACCCAGATATAAACCCACAAGTTTATGGACACCTAATTTTTGACAAAGGAGCAAAGAACATACAGTGGAACAAAGAAAGTTTGTTCAGCAAATGGTGCTGGGAAAACTGGGAAGCTATCTGCAAAAAAATGAAACTAGATCACTGCCTCACTCCAGTCACAAAAATCAACTCGAAGTGGATTAAAGACCTAGACATAAGCACAAAAACCATGAAATACCTAGAAGCAAAGATTGGCCAAACACTACACGACATACACTTCAGGAACATCTTTAAAGATAGATCACCTAAGGATAAATAGATGGTCCTACATCAAGATTAAGAGCTTCTGTACAGCAAAAGACACATGACAAAAAACAGAGAGTCCAGTAATTAGGAAAACATTTTCTCACACAAAAGCAGTAATAAAGGACTGATCACAAAAATATACAGAGAACCGACGAAACAGAACAAAAATAAAATAAACAATCCCATCAAAAAATGGTCAGAAGAGCTAAAAAGACATGTCTCCAAAGAGGAAATGCAGGTGCCCAACAAGCATATGAAAAAATGTTCAACATCACTCATAATAAGGGAGATGCAAATTAAAACCACAATGAGATAACACCTCACCCCAGTGAGAATGGCTCATCTTCAAACAACTAGCAACAACAAATGTTGGCGAAGATGTGGAGAAAAAGGAACTCTTGTGCACTGCTGGTGGGAATGCAAACTAGTACAACCACTATAAAAACTGTTTGGAGGTTCCTCAAACTGCTTAACATGGAGTTTCCCTATGACCCAGCAATTCCACTCCTAGGTATCTACCCAAAAGACATAAAAACATTGATTGAAAAAGATACCTGCATTCCCATGTTTATTGCTGCTTTATTTACAATTGGAAAAACATGGAAGCAGCCCAAGTGCTGCTTCTGACTGGATTAGAAAGATGTGGTACATATATACAATGGAATATTACTCAGCAACCAAAACAAAAAAATTAACACATGTCGGCCCTCCCTGGTGGCGCAGCGGGTTAAAGCACAGCATTGAGAATCTGAAGCCACTTCCGCATGAGTTCGATTCCCGCCTGCCTCCTGCCCCGGAGGAGACCACATGGCGAGCCAGACCTCTCCTGGCCGCCCGCTGCTTCCCTCAGCAGTGTACTTCGTAGATCTGCCTGTTCTGTTCCCCACTCTGTCTCTGGTGAAAACCTCTCACCGCCCCTGAGCCTCTGGCCTGTACCCCAGTTCTGTATGCACAAATAAATAATAAATTAAATCTTTTAAAAAAAAATTAACACATGTCTTTTGCAGCAACTTGGATGGAGCTGGAAAAGATCATGCTTAGTGAGATAAGCCAGAAAGGTAAAGAAAAATACCGGATGGTTTCATTCATAGCAGGATTATAATGGCCCAGGTGAGAAAATAACAAGAATAATGAACAACCATATACCAGAGACATTTTGTGAGGGTGGAGTGGGGAATGGGATCAAAAACAGGGTGGAGGGAGGGAAGTGCACAGGAGTATGGTGATGGCACATGTGTGACTAGGTGATGGGAAACCCATGGGGATTACAATTGAGATGAAAAAATATATATACAAAATGATGTAGAAATAAACTATTATATTATTAAAAAAAGTAAAAATAAATGCTTTGTTATGAAACTTGCAAATAATAACCAGAGAAACAAAGACAATAATGCATAAGATTTTCCAAGGAAATGTCATCTATGTCCTGTATAAAAAGACTATGAAGCAGTTTCTATTATTATAGCTGTGATTTTTAAAATAAGAGTAAATGCTATACCTTGCAAGAATAATAAGGGAAATAGGTTTAGATTTCAACATACAATTAATAGTAATATAACCTCTGATATTATTATACATGTCATAAGTTTTAATAAAGAAACCGTATTTAGTTATTATGCTTTCTTTATAATGATTAGACATGCTAAAATGGTCTTTCATAGGACAAAATAAAGCAGAATGCAGGCTGTCTAAAACACACAGTCTATAACAGACAATAGTTTTACAGAGAAAAATGTAAAAGTATTACAGTAATTGTCAATATTCCAATACCTTCCACCAGTCGCTTTGGAGCTAACAAATTAGAGAAACTACTTAATTAAATATGATTAAAAAAGAGAAAACTAACTTCCTTCTTATGATAAAAGCAAATAGATATTAAGATACAAAAAGTCACCTCATTTCATCCAAGAAAATACAATTAAAATAAATTCAGTATTTACCTTTTATGATAAAACATTAACTGGACACATTAGAAGCACAAGAAGCTCATGATATAGCATTTCAGTGGCACTCCAAGTTCTGTAATAAAAGGAAGGTGAAATCATACATTGAGAACAATTCATGTATTTGTATAATGATGCTGATTATCCTTGAACTATTTATTAAAACTCTCTATTAACATTTAAAAATATTTTCTCTATACTGTGATTACTGTAGTTTTTGTTCAATGCACAATATTGTATCACACATATACATCACACATATATCTGAATAGGATTTGAAAGGCACTAAATTTGGCTCCAGAATATGGAACACCTACAAGAAGTGGAACTATTCAATGATTTATTATTTTACTGGAAAATATGCTGTTGTACTCTAAGATCTAAAACATTTACAATTGAAATATTTTATGATAAACACATTATCAACATAGACATATTTCTAGTTGTAACACTGTGTTATTAGTGTTAGGGGGTATTAGTCCTGGTTTACATTTTACTGTTTGCCTTACTCATTAGATTTGGGAACCAACCCTAATTTATGACCCATACTACTTTTCCTAAACAAATTTCATAAAACATCAGAAAGGTTAGTGATCCATTTGGTAAGCTGATTTCAATATGTAAATATTTAAATTGTTTGTTTATCATTCTAGAAAATACATATATACACATATACACGCATGTATATATACATATATATATATATATACATGCATGCATATACATATATATAAGTGAAATAGATAATAGTTCAAAATGTCATCCCCTATATCAATGGTATGAAGAAAAAAAAATCAATCATTATTTTCCCATCTACTTGCTACAGAGAATAAAATGGTAGGGAACATATACAGGTACTACTGTGCAATGGTATTTCTTTATGTTCCACTTACACAAACACATGGTATTTACATAGGAGGAAACTGGCTTCTGCATTTTCCTCACTCCCAGCCTTGTGCAGGTAGTGTTAAATTCAGGCACAAATCTCAATGAATCAGCAATTATAAACATCTGTGTCCACCCCTTCCCCTTTCTGAAATGTCTAATTCATTAGGTGACAAAGAACAGGAGTGTAAGGACAGAGATCGGGAAATGATGTGCCTGAAAACTATGTATTTGTCAGGAAATATGGAGCAGATTAGAAAGAAATAAATGAAAATCTTCTTATCTCAGTGCAAGAATAATCGTAGAAGGTCATGGCTTAATGTGGGATTCATACAAATTATGTCACTGATTCAAAGTCTTTACAAGCTACCAGCAATTCCTTATGCACTGCTCAATTTCTTATATATCTATATAAAATGTGATTATATGTAAATATATATTTATATGTATGTATAGTACATACATATGTATCTTTCGCATTTACTACATTATTTCGTATGTATACATGCACACATAGAGCATGTGCATATGTGTGTGTATATGTATTATTTACTACAGAGATGCATAAAAAATATGGATATACACCAAGTCCCATTAAAACCATGTATGCTTTTTTCTCTTTGCTAAGAGTTCAAGGAGAATCATTATCTATATAGACATTCTAATAATGGAGCATTCTATTCGTACCTAATGCTAATGGATATGAAACAAGGCCCAGGTATTGTCTTAGATGATGTAACTAATTAGTCTTAATGTGGGAAGATTCTCTAGACCACAGTGATTTTGAAAACTAGCAGGAAGATATTAATGACACAATAAATATTACTCAGAGGAATTAGAGGTTAAGTGTAAAATGTTGATTTCATGTGAATTGGTGGAGGCAACTTAGCTGAGCTAGAGAAAGAGCTTAGAACCAAGAATGTGAGGAAACTTGCCTCATCATTTTGAGGTACACAATTTGAGATATCATACTGTCTACAACATAAAAATGGGGACTTAGTGAATATTAGATGGAGATAGATCAAATCATATATAAAAGATTAAGACCTGCCTACATGCTTGGGGCAATCCATAAAAAATCATACTGCAGGTTGGCAATTTACTTAATAAATTCCTGAGACACAAGCTGGAAAAGTTTGTAAAACATGCACAACATCTTTTACCTCAGATACACAAAAAATGTCCATTTGTCCCTCAATCCCATGATTAGTTACTGGTTGAAGTGATATTCCAAACTTTCTGGCTTCTAAATCAGACCCCTTGGAATATGACATGATACACCAATACCATTAAATATTGTGTCTCTTACTTATAGCCATTTTAAGTAATGAGATGATCATATATTATAGCAGATAATCTTCTATTATAGCAGATGTGTATGTAATACTAAGCAGATAATGACCTCAAAAAGCAGTATTGGATTAATGTGGGAACTGAAATACAACACATTTAGCACAATCCCAGCACTTAGTGAACAACTCAATGGCAGCTGTTATTGTTATCTATAAAATGAAAGAAAGTATTAGTAACAGGGAGCAGAAATTGTTAAAAAGGACAGTGCATATACTGCAAGAATAATTTTATAGGGATTAATATCTTTAAGATACAACTCGAACTAATTTAAGCCTTAGTCAAACAAAAGTATCTTGACCTTTAAGGTTAGAGATATGGAGGTGCAATTTAGAAAACAGTAATAATTGTTTTACTTACTTCTTTAGACCATGCAATCTCCATAAATATGCAATATATAAACTGATACAAACTGGGTTAAGGTTTATATTGGTCAGCTAGGAAGCAATTGAAATCAAATAAATAAAAGCAAGTCTTCCTAGACTTACAATGTATTTTCATAGGTAAAAACACAGAACTATATTGTAACTATTTCTTTTCGTTTTTTTCTTTCTTTTTTTTTAAGATTTTATTTATTTATGCATACAGAACCGGGTGCAGGGGTGGTGAGAGGATTCACCAGAGACAGAGTAGGGAGCAGGACAGGAAGATCAAGGAAGTACACAGCTGAGGGGAGCAGCAGGTGGGTCAGGAGAGATCTGCTGGGCCATGTTGATCACCTGAGGGGCTGAGGATCCAGCTGTAATGAAGTGGCTGCTGCTCCCTTGCAGTGCTGTGCTTTAACCTGTTGCACTACCAAGGAGGGCTCTACTGTGACTATTTCTAGGTAGAAATACATTACAGTTATGAATTGATATCTCTGGGCCCTCCCTGGTGGCACAATGGGTTAAAGTGCAGCACTATGAAACTAGTTGCGGCCACTTCAGAACGAGTTCCATCCCAGGCCAAGGAGGTGACCCACATGGCATTGCAGACCTCTCCAGACCCACATGTTCTGCTCCCCACTCTGGTGAATCCTGTCACCACCTCTGCACCTCTGGCCTGCAACCTAGTTCTGTGTTCATGAATAAATAAATCTTTAAAAAATAATTTATATAATTTATATCTTTATCATTATAAGAATTTTTGGAACAAAGGTTTGAAAACCTCTGCTTTAAATGGAAGAGTAGACCTACCTACCACTTGTCTTTCTTTTTCCACATTTTCTATTGATTCTCATACTTTATTTGAAGGTGAAGGCAATTGAGAAGACATTTACAGAGGAAATGTACAGTACATGATAGCTTTTAAAGTGCAAGTATCTCAATTTTATATTCACAATTATTAATACTTAGTTTACATTAATTTGTGAGTTCTAAGCAATCAAATTTCCTACTAAGTTCTGCACACCCCCTACAAATACACACACAAGTATGTCATGCCAACACACACACACACACACACACAGGTGAGCATGTCTGGTCTAGGGCATTAATACAGAGAAAATAATATTGCAGAGCATGACATGGTGAAAAGAGCTGAGTAGTAACTTTCTTGGATGGTCCCCTAAGGTAAATAACACCACCAGCCTGAAACATTCATGCTTACTGCCTCTGGAGTTGGAATTTCATTCACATTTTGAAAACTTTAGATTTTTTCTTAGAGAATGATTTACCCTACATTGGGGACAGAGAGTCTTTCATATTTTGAGCAGACCAAAAACTTTGAGTTATTTCATGGCACTACATTCTCTTTAAGATTATATTATTTTTGGTCATGGAATAAAAAGACAAGTTAAATAACCTTTCTACTATGTGCCTAAATTTGATGCTCTACAAACATTACTAAATTTATTCATCATAAAATATATTGTATAGATAGGGAGTGTTCCTTTACAGATACAATAATTGAACTTTATTAAGTGCCAGCATTTTTCTCAAGATCACAAGTTTTTCCACTTGTCTCCAAAGTATCAACCAGGGGCTCCCTGGTGACTCAGTGGATAAAGACTCTTATGAAACTATCACCAGCCTCTGCAGAAAGAGTCAGATTCCTTGCCCACTGCTCCCCTCAGCAGGGTATTTCAGTACATCTGCTTGCTCTGCTCCCCATTCTATCTCTGGTGAATCTTCTCACACCCTCACAGTGGGGGCCTGTACCCCAGTTTTTATATGTAAAATTAAATAAATCTTAAAAAAAAAGCATAAACTAGATAGATTCAGTCACAGAAGTTGAATGCAGTGGTGCTTAGTGCTTAGCAAATTTTGGAACCTGCAATGAGTGCAGTAGACTGCAACTAGATGGCTTAAGTACTTAAATAGTTCTCAGTTGTTAAATAAAACTGATGCTCTAAATTGAAACTTTTTCTTTCTTTTGCTTGTTTTTTTGACCCTTATATGAAAGAATGGTCATCAAAATGGCTGTTTTGATGTCTGTTTTGTTAGTTAATGCCAAATTATAGATATACTAGTGTTTTATTAATATGTGTAAAAAAAAACATTTACTATTTAAAATGAGTTGTTTTACATAAAAACTGACCAGCTTAAGAAATAATAAATGTATAACAAATCAACATAAATGACATTCTCTGGAAACATAAATGTAGTCAACATTCTTTTCCATAATAGAAAAGCTAGGATATACCAATGAATATGAATTTTAATGTAATGAAGTAATATAACTCTTAACTTGAATATTACAAAATATGTATGCTAATACTAATAATTAAGCTATCTAATTCATATTCCTAATATAGAAATTAGTTATGATATGTATTAGAGGAATAGAGAATATATAGAAGGGATATTGAACAAATATATTCATTGAGTAATTTTTACTCTTCATTCTTTAAAACTTTTTTAA